ACTTCAATTCTTCTCCGACATCTTCTCGACTCCCTTGGAAGAGGTGTATCATCATCAGAAGTAAACTCTCGAGCTTCATTTTCATGTTGGTTATGTCTACTTTGAAGTTCGTCGATTATCTCATTTTTTTCTTGTAGGCTACGCAGCAATTTTCGTAGCTGCAGCCTCAACGACTCAGCGTCATCTTCGTGATCGCTACCTTCACCAATTACATCTTTTCCATTCCGCCTTGCCATGATCTCTAGCCTTTAGCTCTGATACCAAACTGATACCGGGAAGGGTAAAAAATGCAGAATGGATTTCGAAAGAACACCGATATAACAGTTGTTCAGATAGAAAATGTCACAAAAGGCAAGGAACGCACTTTTGAAGAAACTTCGATAAAACGATATATAGCTCACCACCAAGTTTAAAAATCAAAAGGGATACAGAAGATCACCACCCTAATGATAATAAACAAGGATACAGAACTGAAAGCGAAAGACTCACCACTTAAGGACGCATCCAAGAGATATAGAGTTCAAAAGAGCACTCCAAGAGAGCTTCTGCCAATATCCTCAGTTTTCTAAAAACTTTCTAAGCCCTAAATCCCAAAATAAATACTAGTGCATGAAACAACCCTTCATGCATAGGAAATTTCGAAATTAAGTACTTTACAGTTGCCAACCAACTCCATTAATGTATTCCTTAGCCATGAAGAAAAGCACCATGATACAGCTTTACAACTGTCAACCAACTCCACTAATGTATTCCTTTGTGCAGGGAATATGCTGATGAGCTGTCTTATCTGAATAGGCTGAGTTGGAGATTATGTAGCAATATTGTTGGCTGAAAAAAATATCAAATTATCAGTATGGTCCATATGAGCAGATTGTAGCAAATTAGACACTCCCGTGTCATAAACTGTTCCTATGGACCTAAATCTTAACCAAAGTCAATATATGGTTACATAGCTTGAGCTTGCAGCTGCTGCTATGACCCAAACTCACAGTGGTGCCATATCTGCATGTGCTTGCTAAGTCCCATCCTATGAACTCAAATGCCATATTCTACTACAACAACCAATGATAATAACCTTCAAGAATTAAAAAAATCCATTGCAGATAACCTTCACTTTAGATCAGCATTTTGGTGAGTGCTTTGGATCCTACTCGAACAGAGGAAGCATCATGGTTCATAAGATGCGAAGCAAAGAGTCATTCCTTTTTTGGTAACATATATATATTTTTTTGTGAATGTGAAACAGTTAATGCGTATATATATACCATACTTAAGATTATCAAGTTATAGTTACTAAGACCATAACCAAAATAGTCATAAAATATAGTTACACTGTGAATCTTCTATATGCATGTAAAGAATTGCACATGACTTATAAAATTAAGTTGATACTTGCTACTCATATCCATTCAGTTGAACTGACTATGAACTGATCATCCCTTCACTTTGTACCAACGAATGCAATTTCATACTCTACTGATTCCTGGCCAAACTGGTACACTAGTATACCAACACATGATACACCGGTATGTACTAAAGATGACAGAAAAAGAGGGTGTGGGGAAAGAGGAGGAAGAGGAAGAAGAGGAGGTGGAGGAAGAGGAAGGAAGAAGAGAAGATGGTTGAGGAAGAGGAGGAAGGAGGAAGAGCGAGGAGCAAGGGAGAAGAGGAGGCAATGGAGGAGGTGCTGGAGGAAGAATAGGACTAGGCAATGGAGGAGAAAGATGAGGAGGAAGAGGAGGCTGTGGAGGAGAAAGAGGAAGGAAGAAGAGGAAACAGTGAGGTACAGGAAGAGGAGGAGAGGAGAAAGCATACCCAAGGTCGGCGGCACACGATGGGTGCCGAATCAGTGGGCAGCAGCACGCCCGCATGTACAGTGAAAAGGGCTCGCGCACTCTGCGTGTACAAAGAAGAGGACTCGCGATCTCTAGATGGTTTTGACATTTTCTTTTTTAATTACGCAGACCAGACTGGACTGCCCAAAATGGGGCTGCTCCATGACTCGGTTTAGGTTCGGATGGGTAAATTGTATTCCATGCTGAGCCCGAACCAGATGAACTTGAATTCCATGCTTTGTACTCCACTTCTTAGAATGACTTCTGTGTTGATTGCTTCTTGCGTGAATTTTGTCCGTAAACTTCTTTTGTTATATAAGCTTTAAGCATCATGTTTATACTTGCATGTACATCTTTTGCTTTGTAGTGTTCAAGTTACTTGTATGATTGCTTTCTGCTTGCTCTATGTGAGAATATAACTCATTTTAATGCTGTGGTTTCACATTTTTAACAGTTTAATCTCTAGAAAAAAGAGTTAATTATTGTCTTTTCTTGGATTTATATAATATTTAACACTATATACTGTTCTATTAACAAATAATCATTGTAGGTGGAGATCTATCCATTGAAGATTTATTTAACTGAAACTATGTACAGAATGATGTGGGATTACTTTTTCCCAGAAGAAGAACAAGATTCACAAAGACGGCAGGTTAGTCATAGTTTGTAAATTTTTCATTATTATATGTCCATGATATTCTCATAAACTACTTTGAGTTTGCTGTGTTTCTATTAAAAAAATAAAGGAAGTCTGGAAAGTTTCCACGACTGCTGGTTCAAGACGTCCAAGGAAAAACTTTGGTGGCCTTGAAGGAGCTTCAACTAGCCAATCTACAAGAGAATATGAGGCTTCAGGTAGACTGAGTGCAACTGCAGCTATGTCGGCGAATGTTGGGTCTACTCACACTGCTGTTCATGCTGATTCTTCTCAGGTAATTTATGCTCAACTTTTTAACAAGAAATTATTATTTTAAAAAATGCTCATAGTTCAACTTCTTCATTATTAATGATGTCTTTTGAACTTTGTGTTATATGTGTAACCAATTATCAATTTTGGTTAATCGAAGTGTTGGAAGTTTCACAACATGCATCATTATGAAATAACACAGTTGGATTATTATTATATTCCTTAAATGGAGATTTGTTTGCAGGTCTCTAAGTTGCAGAGCTTAAAGGCAAATATGGTATGTGGTTCAAATCCAGAACTTAGGCGAACATCTTCATTTGATAGAACATGGGAAGAAAATGTGGCAGAGTCTGTAGCCAATGAGCTTGTTTTGCAAGTTCAATCTTTGACTGTCTCCTCAAAAAGTGGGCCTCTTAACTCAATGTCAGAAAATCAGCACACAGCTAATGAAACATCCAGAAATAAACCAAAAGACTCAAAGTCTGTTAAATCAGGTCGTTTGTCTCATGAGGAAAAGCGAGTAGGGAAAACTCAAGATGAAAAAAGAGCTAGAGCCCGAAAAATGATGGAATTTCATAATATCAAGATAAGCCAGGTTGGTTGTTTCTGACATCTAAATCAATATTGACAATTCAGTATGCTGTTGCTAATGTCGATTACTTAATTCTCATTTCTGATTTACTCCCTTACAGGTTGAGTTACTCGTTACTTATGAGGGATCAAGATTTGCTGTTAATGATTTGAGGCTGCTGATGGACACTTTTCACCGTGTTGATTTTACTGGCACCTGGAGGAGGCTATTTTCGCGAGTTAAGAAACATATTATCTGGGGAGTCCTGAAGTCAGTAACTGGCATGCAGGCAAGTATGGTAAACTAGAATAAGTGGTAAACATCATATGATACCTTTAGATGCATTTAGCGGCAATGCATAATGAAAAGATTTAGCTAATTGTAATTCTTCTAGTTAATTACATGTATCACATGTATAACTAATTTGGATTTTTTTTAATATTTAGATTCAAATAATCTGTGCTTGATATGTTAATCAGACCATTCAACTTTGTCACAACATTTTCTCATATAGGGTAAGAAATTCAAGGATAAGGCCCAAAGCCACCGAGAGGTACATGAGAATTCTGTTCCTGAGATTGATCTTAACTTCAGTGATAGTGATGGAGGTCAGCCTGGAAAATCTGATCAGTTCCCTATATCTTGGCTTAAGCGGCCAAGTGATGGGGCTGGTGATGGTTTTGTCACTTCCATCAGAGGGCTTTTCAATTCTCAGCGGCGCAAAGCTAAAGCATTCGTGCTGAGAACTATGAGAGGTGATGCAGAAAATGACTATCATGGTGAGTGGAGCGAGAGTGATGTTGAGTTCTCTCCATTTGCCAGACAATTGACCATAACAAAAGCTAAGAAGCTTATAAGGCGGCACACTAAGAAGTTCCGGTCAAGAGGACAAAAGAATTCAGGTAGTTCTATGTTTCAATACATTCATTTTGTTTATTATAGAAATGACCTTTTCAAGTTAAACATGGTTCCTGAAAAAGGCCTTCACCTCCACATTTCATACTTTGTCGTAGTCTAGATTTTAGATTTTGTTGGAGGGCTAGAATTATCACTTCCGATGGCTCATCCCAAGACCCTCTCTTTTTCTCTCCCCCGGTACCATTTTCCATCTGTGATGCAACAATGTGTTCATGACATCAACCTTGGGATTAGGTATTCTCGAATGTAACCTAGGTTCACATTTATAATTCACTGCTGGCCAAATTTAAATGGTTGTGGATCCAACAGATTTCTCAACAAAATGGTTGAAACAAATACCTTGACTGTTAAATGTTTTCCTTTTTTTTTTTCATTTGTCACACACACAACAACCTAAGTAATGGGCTGCAAGCATTTTCCACTAGTGCCTTTTACCAACCTCATGCATTTTTTCTTCCATTCTTGGTTTTCATTGGTATTTAGCACATAGCAACTACCCTATCCTTTTGGTCCCCATTATTTGCTAGCATTAGTGAAGAGTTCTATTAGCATTTTTCTCTGTTCTTTATTTTCTAGGATATCAAGCACAGAATGGCCTCTCTCTTTGATGTCTCACTAACTTGTTTTTTGATTCTTTATCTTCTTAAGGGTTGACACTGCAACGTGATTCAGTCCCATCGACTCCAAGAGAAACCACACCTTTTCAAAGTGATTCCTCTGGTGCATCTTCTTACGAGGACTTCCATGGGTAGAGCAACCACACCCTCTACTGGTTTGTGTCTTTCACTTAAGATTGTAAAGCAATTGGCCAGAAGCATGGTTGAACAGATCAAAAGTGGCAGAACTTGAACTCGCTGTGTTATTTAAAGTTCAAATCAAACTGTGGCCTACGACCCTGACAATAATTAATTGCATGGCCTTGTGGGAAGCTACAGAATGTTCTTCATTCGGCAAAGGTTGGAAGTCTGCTTCCATGCTAATTTCTTTGAGATGATGCAGAAAGCTTCATATTGTACATACTAGTGAGTTTTATTATTTTGTTTCTGTTATGTACCTATGTATTCTTATGCCTCTTCTGTATAGAAGTAGACAGTGTTTAGAAACTACATGATTTTGTAGACATAACTGTTACCATTCAATCAGCATAATCTTCTACATTATAGGTGGTGGGATGAGTAGTTAATTTTCAGAACAATTCTAAACCATAGTGTTTTGCCACTAGCGTAAGTTTTGAATGGGAAAATCATAAGTTCGAGGATCTGTGTTCTCTGTTTCTTCATATTGTCCAAATGATTGCATGTCCAGACTTATGATCCTAGTTTTTTTTTTTTTTAATTTAGCTATCATAAGGTGGGAAGTATGTTTGTTTTTGAACTACTTGGAATCGTATTGTTGGTTAAGGTAATTTACTCAATAGCCATAAATATTCAAAAACTCTAAAAGCTGCACGTGAACGTCATCCATGATTTGTTTCTTTTATGAGCCAAAATATAAATTTAATTTGCTCGGGTGGCTATAGGCTAACAGATGTTCTAATTTTTATGATCGTTTTCTATAATTTTGTAGGTAATCATGGAGATTGTTGGTAAAACCGTTAATAGTATGACCGTGGTCATACATCAGATTGTTGGTAAGACCTTTGGAGTATATCTTGCTTGGTGAAGCGTTTGCATAGTAGTCATAGTGGTCATACATCAGATTGATGGTTCAAATAGCCAAACCATAAATTAATTAATTAATTAATTATATATATATTATTTTTAATATTTTAACATAGAAATTTCTCTCCATTTTTATTAATTTAACTTCTTGTTTTCTTTTTTCTTCTTCCCATCCTTTCTCCCCTCTCTATATCTCCTCTACTGTTGCCATGCTCGTAGGTCTTCTCCATTATTACGTGGATATCATTCCAACTGAGCACATCAAATCACTTAGAATACCTGTGTCAAATCTTGCAGTGTTCGTCTATCAATTTCTACTGACGACGACTGATTCCAATCAACAACGCAAGTTATACTCCAAAGGGAAGTAATAGTATATTTCTTTTTTCTTTTTCTTAAGTTGATTTGCATTCCTTTAAAGTCATATACATCGTTTCGATATAAAGAAATATTTTTCTAAAGGTCTAAATTCACGATCATCGACATTGCCTTACATTTATGCTCCTAATAAAAAAAACACTGCTAAAAATCATTTCTGCGGTACAGGCTTCAAACGGATAAACACCATTGACTTTGTTTTCTCGAGAGAACACGGTTAATTGGGACCTGTACAATACACTTGTATCACATTGTATTTCAATATATACATTGAATTTTTATTGATAGTAGGTATGTATTTATATAGAGATCATAAAATATAAAATATTCATCTAAATCTTTTCATAATGTAGGAGATGGAACATGATCTTTATCATTGATAGAATCGTGATAGTATGTTATCATAATTTTTATGATTTAGAATTATGACAACGTATTATCAAATTATTGAGAAAATAATGATAATCTTATCATGATTGATTTTTCTTAATATCTTTTCTAATATGCCCCATAAGATTGTGCTTTCATTGGAGACAGATCTTGGACGACCGAATAGTGAGATAAAGGCTTGGTAAGAGCATCCGTAAGTTGATCAGAAGATGAGATATGAGAGATACGTAGCTCACCATTTTAAACTTTATCACGAGCAAAATAAAAATCAATAACTATGTGCTTTGAGAGTGAAATATAAGATTTGTACATAGATATGTTGTTCCAATATTATCATAATATATCGATGGAGGATCAAAACTTGTGATAAATAATTAATATAGTAATGATTGAATCTAATAAAGTTCAGTAGTTATAGAAGCAACCACTCAATATTTAGCCTTCGTCAAGATCTTACAATAGTATTATTTCTTGAAACTTCAAGAGATTGAATTGTGGCAAAAAAAATATGATTTAAGAATGTCCTAACAACCTTATTACTTACCCAAGCAATATCTGAAAATGCATAAAGTAACAAAGGAGAGTCCTCTTAGAAAAATAAGCCATGATCAATAGTAGCTTTCTATTACCGAAGATGTTTAATGGTTGTCCAATGGTTGGAAGTACGCTTGTGTATAAATTAAGATAATTTATTTACTGCATATGTAATGTCCGAATGAGTAAATGTTAAATATTGTAAATTTCTAATAACTTGATGATACTTAGTGGTATTCTTGAGATTAGTACTATTAGATAGGATAAGATAAACAACACTTGTAGAGATTGGCATAATAATAGTATTAGCTTCAAGCATTTTCATGTGATCAAGGAGGTAACGAATATACTTCTATTGAGAAAGAAATAGACCATTTGTAGTGTGGATGATTTGAACACAAAGAAAATAGCTAAGGAACCTAAGATCTTTCATAGAATACTTATTTCAAATCTACTGAATAAACTAATTAATTATTACTAGTTTATTACCAGTAATAATTAAGACATCCACATAAACTAATAAAAATATGATTATATCTTAATAAAAATAAATGAATAATGAATTATCATATTGAGAATTATGAAATCTAATTGAGACAAGATGTATTCAATGTTCATAATACTAAGCACAATGGGCCTGCTTAAGACCATAAAGAGCCTTGAGCAACTTATAGATATGTTGAGGAAGACTATAAAGAATAGAGTTTGGAGGTTTCCTCATAAATATATCCTTAGAAACATAACTATGAAAAAAAAATATTATTCATGTCTAACTATCAATATCTCTAATTATCAGACAAAGTAAAATATAAAATAATATTAATTATTGTTGGCTTCACAATTGAGCTAAATGTGTCAAGATATTGTTTGATATAAAAAAATTATTTGTACCCTTCAAAGTTTTGACTTGGATAGGATAGGACTAAGTCTCATATACCATTTTGTAATAAAGCATTATATTCTTCAAGCATTATTGCTCGTCATTCAAGAATTTTTAAGGCTTGGTTAATAGTGAAAGAATCAAAAATAAAATTTTGAGATTGTTTTATAAAAATAAAAAATATTTATTTAGTTTAAAGACTTAATTTTTTGATATAATAATAATAAGATGAATTGTTGTAAGGTTAATGACATCTCTAAGATATATTGACGAGAAAAATTTAAAGTGATACTGAAATGAAACCTTGCCCTAAATTCTCTTAATGCATGATAATTTCATAAGGCAGCCGGATAGATGAGGTAACCTATTATTCATTATGCACAATTGAGGAATGACCTAATGAGGTCTAAGTGGATAAAGTGTTTGGATTGGTGGGTGAGGTTGATGTTTAAACTTGAACGGGAATGATAATATAAAGTGGCTCATAAATTTCAGGAACCTAATCAATAAAGTTATTGAAAGTTAATCTAGATAAAAGAGAGTCAAGTGATTTATAGGAAAAACATAGATTCCACAAAATGAAAATTCTTTTGGTTGATGCATCAAAAATACTTTCATTAGTGGAATATCCAAGAAAATCACATAGCTTTGATCGGGCTTCCAATTTATTATGGGTGTAAGGTTTTAACCATGGATAACATAAGACATCCAAAAACATGTAATTTGCTATAATTTGGACTAGATCCAAATAGTTTTTCAAATGATAAACCCATATTAAAATTGAAGTGGGCATGCAATTAATAAGATAAGTTGATGTGACAAATACATAAGATTAAAATTAAAGAGGTAAGGAAGCTAGAATAAGGTGTGAGACCAGTTTGGACGATGTGCTAATGATGATGTTTTGTGCTCCCATTATGTTCATGAGTATGCGGAAGGGTGAGAAAATAAGAAATTTTATTAGTTTCAAAAATGTTAGGAAGCTTTTTAAATTTACCACCATTATCATAGTAAAATAAAATAACGGATCGTTGAAAGATCTTTTCAATAATAAGTTTAAACTTGGAAAAAACGATGAATATTTTATATTTTTACTTTATAGGAAATAACCATAGGTACTTTGTGAAATGGTCAACAAAAATAAGATAGTAATTAAATCCATTACTAGATTGTATTTTAAAATGAAGGACGCGAAAATCAAAATATATAAGTTTAAGAGATGAATTGCTTATGAGAGTGGAGGTAGAAATGAAAGCTTATGCATTTTATTATATTTTTATGAGTTACACAAAAAGGGCTAACAAGATGATAATGATAAAGGTAAATTACAAGAATAAACAATATGACTAAGAACCTTATAGGAATGATGCCTTGAATGATCATGCCATTCTTAAAATAGAGCCTTGATAGTGGTCAAAACAAAGATAGATTTGGATGGTATAATAATTAGCTACTCACAAACTCCATCTCTATTCAGCCCCTCCATAAGATGTGCTACTGTGTTGAGATCATTTACAACAAATGAAGAGGGTAAGAATTTAATAGAGATATTATTAGAAAAATATAATTTAGAGATAAATATTAGGTTCTTATTTATATTAAGAACACAAAGTAAAAAAAAATTAAGAAAGAGTGAAGGTTTATAGAAAGTTATTTTAAGATCTTTATTATTATGTATCATAATATCATCTGGACTATCATAATCTGAATGAAGAAATAGATTATTTAGGTTAGACATGACATGAAGAGAAGCCTCGGAATCAATAAGTTAGTTTGATGAAAGTTGAAAATATTGAGTAGGTATATGCAGTGGTAGTGACAAAAACCAAGTAGGTGGTGCAATAGGATATATAGAATAAGATAGGTATAAAGGCTAAAACATCCATGGAAGAATAGCTTACAAGTGATGACATTTCTTAGCAACATGGCTTTCCATGTCACATATTTGACAGGTGACTTTGATGTTGAATTGTTGATCAGATTTGTTGATACTTTTGCTATGATGATATTGTATGTTACCTCTAGAATGATTGTTTGGATGGTTAACTCGATGGATATGGATCTTGCCTTTATTGATAGAATTAGCCTTGTTAGCAAAATTGACAATGATAAAAGCAGCATCAGAAGGTGGTGTCTCTCGCTTAAGATAAGTTTCATAGCCAGAAAGCTTATCATGAAGTTCTTTAAAAGATATAAGACTATCACGAGCATGAATCTCGATCACAATCTCCTTGTAATGTAATCCAAGACTATTTAATATATGAAAATAATCTCTTCATCATCAAGAGGTGCATCAACCCTAGTAAATGCATCGGCTTGAGTTTTGATAGCCTATATATAGTCAAAAATAAACTTTATGCTCTTAGAAAGTTTGAAGAGAGATTTTGGAAGTTGCATGAGGTAACCATAAGATTT